TCTCTCTCTCTGCTTCTTATTCTTCACGAGAAGGCAAAAAAATTCACTCCATCCCCCTCCGTCAATGGTGTATCATATCTGGAACGATAGTTAAATTAATAACACGTCTTGATCCAACAATAAACCTCGTAACACGAACGAGTCTCATCGACCTCGTTCGAGGACACGAGGGCGAAAAATAATCCGCAGGCAAGACGAACAAGTGTTCGAAAATTTTTAACAAAAATTCATCGATTTGTTCTACATACAAAAAAGAAGAAAAGGAAGAACGTCGAACATTTTTTAGAAAACATCCTTACCGGCAGGTGCATCCGGCGCAACGATAGACGTACGAGACGAATTAATGAGAAGCAACCATTGAAACGCCTTAACAAAAGTTCGCGTTTCAGGCACGAAGAATATTTAGCCGGGTGTGTCGATGTTTTGAAAAATATAAAGAAACACGGGGCGCGATAATGCCAGGCGACGATATTAAATTTAATGGAACCGTGGCTCATGTCACCGCACCGCGACAGCTCGTTTTGCAAATTAATGCATCGACGACGGGCGATGCAACGTTTCGATCGTTCGACGATTATCTTCCACCGCGGTGAAACCGGCTGAAGAAAAATTACCTAATTAACAGCCGCTACGCGGCGAGATAATGCTCGCTAAAAAGCTTCCTGATACAACAGAGAGCCGCTTAATTTTTTAATGACACAATGTTTGTTTGCCGCGCCGTTACCGGGTTTATTGTAGTTTGCATTGCGAATGTAATTTATGTTTGTTCGACGCAAGAACAGTGAATCATTTGGTTGTTTCCTTTCCTCTTTTTTCTTTTCTTTCTTTCTGCATCTTCAGTTATTGGATACCTAACCTAACCTTATTTTTTTTCTCTTCTCCATGTTCTACCGGTGTTAAGACTCGCTGGAACCTCTGAAATTAGATACAGGAATATCCAACGGCGTATGCGACATTACAAGAAGATCGTTTCATCATGCATCTTGGTCGTAACGTATCGTGCTTGCATGCTTAATGCTCGTTACTCAACTTTTCCCTGTAAAAACGTGGGGTATATACACGTTAGGTAAGAACTGAGATGAACCGCTGCAGCCATTTTGTGGTACTAACTGTCATAATTCAAAATTATCTGTATTTACTTACTTGTATCGTAATTCAACAATAAAATAAAGTGTTTTCGATAAACTTTGTAACAATGGACATTGAATTCTATAATACGCTTCATTGTTTATTCCGCAACAAGTGAGTTCGAATTTACGATCGATAATATTTTGTAATCAAAGATCAATTGTAGATGTTCTTTTTTTATATATGCGAGTACGTAAAATGTGAGTTTGTTTCGTCCATATTTTAATTGTTGACAATTCTGCTGCAAGTGACCCGAATGCGCACATGTTCCACGTACTCTATCAGATTAATAATAACGCAATAATACGTGTCCTAAAAATAACAGCTCGCTGAAAATAAATCTTGCAATCCATCAAAATTTGACACATTCACTCTTACATTTGTTTAATTTTATCGTTTCGAACGTAAAAAACTGCTGATACCAACGCCCACTTCACATTGTAATAAACATTCAGGTGCTTGAAAATTCGATACGAAAACGAGCGAAAAAAGCGACATCCTTTTTATTTTCGCGATAACTTTGACAGAATTTGGTAAAACATGACTTTCATCGATAAGAAAATTATGTAGATATGATTGCTTTATCGGAATATGTTATTATTGAAAGCGTTTAATTTCGAAATGTTTAAAAAAGAAAATTATCTGCCTGCTTTGTTAAAATCATTGGATTAGTCTTCGAATTACTTATTATAATTACACTAAGGGGATTAATGTGGATTAATCTTAGTCGATATAATCGTTATTTTCTGAGAGGTTGGTAATACTTAATCGCTTAACGTTCACGTTTCTATGTCTCACGTATTATATTAATCGTAACTTGTAAAAGTGACTACGAACGTCATCGATTTTCCTTAGCTTTGATTACTTTTTTACTAAAATTGAGAAGATAATCATTAATAAGTAT